GAACCGTGAACTGGAGCAACGAAATCACCTCAAAAAAACACCCGAGACAATGCCTCGGCACCTAAGGGGAGCGCGACGGCACTGCTGCAGCAAAAAACTACAGCAGCAGCGCCTCGGCACCATGACGCTGCACAACGCCGTGGCGGTACAATGAAGCGCCATGGCGCTGTGTGCTGTCTCTACAACTATTCGCCCAATCTGACTCCACAAACAGCTTCTGAGCGACCCGGACTTATAGACTCGATACAGAAACTCAATGCCCAAAACATTAGACCCTTACATCATTAAATCAAGAAGAAAATTGCTATCTACATGCCAAAAACAGGAAAGTTTCCAATCTGCAAACCCATATTTCGAAAATAAGAAAGCACCCACCAAGAACACTGGTTTTGCTCCCAAAAAATGAGAACATCGATGCTGCTCTGATACCAATTGATGGGATATGAATCCTGCAGCGGAAGCGATGATCATCGTTCATCAATTTTGAGAAACAAAACCAAATGTGCAAAAATGAAATACTGGGGAAAACTTACGTTTGAATAACTGTTATTGAACGATTTGCCGAACACCACCAATAGACCTTCTGTGTTATCCCCTGGGTATCCAGAACATGATTGTGGGAACAATCGAGTTGGAACGTAAGGGAGAATTGAGAGAGTTTTACCCTTGAGAGAGAAAAAATGTTGGGAGTTCTTGGGTGTTTCTTATTCTATTCTTCCAGCAGAACCGTTATGCATTCAAACAAAACAAAAATAACGTGGGGAGCTACCCCACGTCATTAAACTCCCCATTCCCTTGCTAAAATGCATAGAAGTTAATAATTAATAACATTAATTAATTAAAATTAATATAATTAATATGTTAAATAATTAATAATTTTAATGAATAATTACTAATCTAATTAATTAAATATATTATTAAATAATTAACAATTAATTATTTAACATTTAATTACATACCTCATATTTAATTAAACCATATTCTCTCTTGTATAACCTATAGATTTAATGTACATCTTATGTGCATTAATTTTTAACCTATAGTTTTAATATGAATCCAATTCATATTAATTATTTGAATCCTATTCAAATATTTCTCTCATAATTTATAATATTAATTTTGAATCTCTGTCCAAAATTAATATATACTTATATATAATGCATCAATATACATTAGTGGTCTGCTTGGCTTTAGTGGTCATTAACTAGTTTTGTTTGCTTGAGGACAAGCAAAAAGCTAAGTTTGGGGGTATTTTGATAGTATACTTTATACACCACATTTCATGATATTCAAGTAGAAATTATTTAACAATTTTCGGTCATTTGTGGCTTATTTACGTGCATAACTAATGTTTTTATAGTATCAAGCTATTAGAAGGAATTGAAGCATAAGCGATCAATTGAGGGAAACTAGAGCGAAAAAAAGGAGCTAGATGAAACCACATCAATGCCGCAGCGCCATCATTTAGCGTCATGGTGCGCCTGCAGGTCAGAATTGGTAGCAAAATCCCGAAGAAGCAGCGCCACAGTGCTAGTACACAGTGCCATGGCACTGCGAACTTACACGTCTGTAACAAATCTTGGACGACGCCATAGCGCTCACTAATGGCGCCATGGCGCTGAGCGATGCCCTAACATAAGAGAAAGATGAGTGCGCCGTTTTAGGCACTTTTGGGGGATTCTCACATGGGGGTAATGGATTTTGGAGAGGATTCACTTGACGTTTGAGGCAAGAAGGATGAGGAGACGATTTTCGAGGGCTCGTGATCGTGGAGATTGAGTCGGGGACGGTCAATCAACACTACGGCTTTAGTTTCTCTCCTTTCCCTTATCTTTTCTAAATTTATTATGAAATTCTTTGTTGGATTTTATTGTATTTTCGTGAACATGAGTAGCTCATCTTCTTGTTCTAGGGATTGACGTAGCCGTTGGATTTACGAGTTGGATTTATTAACATTTGTCTTGATTGATTTGTTTTTAATCTATTTATGCATTTATTTGATTAATGCTTTTAATCTCTTGATCACGGATTAATTGTTGCTAAATCTGAATCTTATGCTCGGGAGAAGCGGTTTAGGTTGGAACCTGAATGCATGACTGGGGTAGTTCTAAGATCGGGAGATTTAGAATTATCTTAGAGGTTGTTAAAAGATTAAGACTTAAGG